AAAATGAGAGAGGAGAGAGAGAGAGAGAGAGAGAGAGAGAGAGAGAGAGAGAGAGAGAGTTGACAGCCCTGGCCATCACCCCAGAGACAGTGATGCTCCAGCAGCCATTGCTACACTGGGTGAGGCTCTTTTCAGTTCTACATTGCTTCCAAATGTGGGGTGCCTCTGTGACTCAGAGGACATGTGTTCTCAACTACCTAACACTGGTGTCATTGTACATATATGTACAATTAGAAAGACTATTTCACAATGCAGTGGTGAATCATGGTTTCACATGAATGCAATCATGCATCAGTTTTGGCAATGGAGGGCTTCCAACTATTTTAGTAATATGGTTAGTTATACCCTATTTATTTAATTTTTAACAATCTATACCATTATGGTCAAGTTTCTCCTAATGGGTAACATTTATAGCACTTCCACCTTATTATTATAAACAATCCTATAATAAACTTCACACACACACACATACACACACACACACACACACACACACACACACACACATACACATACACGCACACACACATAATTACACACATGAATACATAAATCCATACATACACAGACCCCTCCCAAGATTTTTACAAAAAAATTGCAGAATTTTGAATGAGCATATTTTGGACATTAGTGTTGATTGTCAACCAATTGTCTAGCATGTGTTTGAAGGTAGACCAGATGTCTAGCATGCACAGCCCTACGTTTCATCTGGATTTTTATATTTACCACCTGACATCAGATTCAGGAAATAATACCCAACTGTGCCATTCACATGATCTCCTTTCTGAGTTCTCTCTGGAGTCTGGGAACTTCTTCTAGAGGGTGCTTTTGCTTTATAAAGGAGGGGCCAATATCCCCCAGAGAATAAATGATTTAGTCAACATCACAACCAAGAATTATGAATCCAAATTCTTTGTTCTCCTATGCACACAGAACCCCCAATGCACGCCTTCCCTGACACAGTGGCCCAAACCCTCAAACCATAAGCCAAACTGAACACCTCCCATTGAAATTACCTCTTGTCTGGTAGCTGGCCACAGCAAGGAGGAAACTGACACACCCTGTGAACCTCAGGAAGGCTATCTCATCAGACACAGGAGCCCATAACAGGCTAAACTCACCAACACTCAGTGAAGGTTTAGGTAAATGTCACTGAGTTTTATAAAATGTTCTGAGTAAATGTTCTGAGTTTTATAAAAACTACCCAAAGGATGGGGGGGATATTTTCTTGGACAAGTGATTATATTTACTTGAGAGAAGCCATTAAAAACAAGAAAATAAATACAGAGCAGGAGGTAGAGCACTGACCTCCCGAGACTATGGTGGACACCAGGAGTAGCAGAGAGAGGAGACAGCCATCTGGAGGGAAGGTGGGAGAGCCCTTCATCTCCAGAGGGAAGGTCAAGGACAAGTTCACCTGTAGAAGGGCAAAAGTTGGAGGTTCTCAGGAAAAGTTCAAAGACTTAGCAATATCCACAGGTTTCTAACTGTGTCTCCCACAAAACTCTTAAGACAAAACCCACCAACCCCACTACTCTTCAAGGCCTTTCATGTCCTCTCTTTATTCTGAAGGCCAACAGTTCCCTCATGGACATGGGAAACTGCCAAGCATTTTCTGTTGGGGGGGTTGAGTGGGGCTCTCTGACCTTTCTGTGGGTCCATGGTCAGAGAGGGGATCTCAGAGCTGGATTCCCTGAGTTCAGTGTAAGGCACTGGAGTCACAGGAGGAAGTGGATTACCCACGCATCCAGTCTGTCTTCACTCTTATTTATTTATTTATTCTTCTATTTATTCATTTACTCTCTTATTTCCCAATAAAGGGGCCATTTCTCACAACATTCTCATGACTTCAATACCCCCTTTTTGAGGCCCACACTTCCCTTGGACAGACCTTCTCACAGTCACAAACTCCTCACTCACTGTTTGGATTGAGCTCTGGGTTCCTGGAAGCTCCTGGGATCCTCAGTGATCTGAAGCCTGGCCTGGTGACCTGCACACTCAACGGTGTGGCTGTGTCGGTTTTCAGAGATATTCTTTGCATGGGGGACACACAGGGTTTCCCCCCAGGCTCTGGCTTGAGTTTCCCCCAGGAGTCTAGGAGGAAGCTGCAGTCATCTCCAGCTCTTCAGTTACTTCAAGAGTGGAAATAAAAGCCCAAGGGACTTTGTACTGGGCTGAGCCATAAAATAAGCAACAGTAAAGCAGTTTGGAGACTTCTCACAGTAAACTGCCTCCTACATTACCAGGAGAGGCAATCAGGTCTGAGGGTCACTCACATGGTTAATTGGTTTAGAGACTAAAGCCAAGCAGGCTTCTCCCTCTATGTTCTCCATGACTGACTTCTGACAGAATTCGTACTGCCTGAGTTACATGAACTTCACAAGGCTGTGTCTCAAACAAAAACAAAATGGCAACCAACAGAGGGCTCTGTCAACTCACAATAGATTTGCATTTAACATGTATTTCATGTGTATGGGTGCTTTGTTCAAGCCCATGTGTGTGCACCACGTGTGTGCAGAGTCTGTGGAGGACAGAAGGGGATGTCAGATGCCCAGTACCTGAGTTACAGGCAGTGTGAGCTGCCATGTGGGTGCTGGGAGCTAAACCCTGGTCCTCAGCAAGAGCAGCCAGTGCTCCTAACCATCTAGCCATCTCTCCAGACCCCCAAGTTTGCATTTTCATACTCTACTGTATGTTATCATCTCTTGGCAACTGCTGAAAGTTACCCAATCTTAGTGGACATCTCCATTTATGAGGGAATCATTTTCTTCAAATGATTTCTCCTCAAAGCTTAGTTTTTATTTTTAAGTCAGCATTGTGAATATCCAGTTTTGTTAGAAAACATCAGTCTGTTCTTGTTTTATTCTTGTATGTCTCTTATGATCTGCTTGTGGATGATCAATCTTAGATTTAGAATTCAATGACCGAAACTAGTGTTCTCTTTCTTTCGTTTTCAAGAATTACTTTATTTTTAATTATGTGTCTGTGTCGTGCATGCACGGTCTCTCTCTCTCTCTCTCTCTCTCTCTCTCTCTCTCTCTCTCTCTCTCTCTTTCTCTCCCTCCCTCCCTCCTACCCTTCCTCCCTCCCTCTTATCCTGAATCAGTCTGTCCTGGGAGTTGAGAAGAGGTCATGAGATCCCATGGGGCTGTAGTTACAGGCAGTTGTGAGCTTCCAGGCATGAGTTCTGGGAGTCGAACGCAGATCCCCTGGAGTAGTATGGAGCCATCCCTCTAGCCAAAGTACAACTTTCTTGACCCTTTCTGTCATTCTGAACAGGAACATGATTGCTCTGGAATTCACAGGAGGAGAGCAAGCTCTTCTCTCCTTGCTCACGACATGGGAGTGAGAAGGAAGGGCCCAGCTGAGAGCTGTCAGTGCTGTGTACATAGTCCAACTGGATGACACAATCAATGCTCATAAACGAAATTTCTAGGCCTGGGTGAATGAGAATCAGAAAGTTGAAACATGTTCATGTCTTTTCAATTCATTTTTTATGAAAGAGAGGACTGACCAGGAGATGACAATGTATCAAAGCATCAGATAAACTCATGTGCCTGGAGCAGACTTTATGATAGAACTTGTTAGCCCTGGGCTAAATGGGTGTGTTATAGACACCCTTGTTTCCATATGTTAATTTTTATAATCTCAAAAAATTGAGGACATGGATTACCATCCAACCTAATCTCAGATGAGGAAATAGAGGCACCAAGGAGTCCTGTAGCTCACCCCCAAATTCTAAGCATAAGCAATAATATCAGGAGATTAACCCAAACCATGAGGTCTTAAGAGTCCAAGACCTATGTTACTAACTGGAACACATCCAGTTTAGAAAGAAACCAGTTGCTCCAGCTCTTGGCTGCACCTCATAACCATGTAATTATTGCTGTTCTGTTGTCTGTTCTGAAGTTCTCTTCTAATCTTATTTCACCTTTGGTTTTGAAACTTTCTGGAGGATGGCAGGGGGGCTGACTCCTGGAGTTTCCTGGGAGGAGCATCTTGCCTCCAGTTCTCTGAATCTCTTAAATGTCCACCTAAGCCTTCATCCCAGATCCTGAGCCTCCTGAAGCATCTCCATCAAGACTTACAGGAGAGCCAAGAAGGTGAGCTGGGAGGCAGGACAGGTTTACCTTGTTTAGCTGCCTCTCTGAGGTAGTGAGTGATGCCCAGAAGCCTTCATCTCTCTAAGAACTTAGACAATGCAAGTTTTGCATGAGCCTCTCAGAGGTTCACAGCATGAATCTTGGGGTAGGTAGAGGACAATCAGAGTCCTTTTTCACAGAGGAGGTGTGAGAGAAAATTCAAGGAGGCTGAACCAAGCTTGAAACAGCCATTTCTCTCTCTGTTTGCCTCTTGCCTCCCCTGTCTTGGTCTATGGGATAACATGTTCTCTCCCAGGGATTAGAGAGGCCATGGGCAGACTAGTGACCTGTTCAGGGATGTCTCTGGAAAAGGGAATCAGAAGGTCTTTGTGTGAGTGACAAGGGTGTCCCTGGCATCCTTTGAGAAAGGTACTGAGAGCCCCAGGTGACCATTGAACCCCTTAGCCACGCCCCTCTTACCTTGGCAGTCTCCTTGTCATCTCTTCCCCAATGTTTGCAGGACCTCCCTCTGGACCACACTCTTCCCAAACCTAGGAAAGATGGCACATTCCCTGAGCTTCTCTCTGCCCAGAGACCTCTTCACCCTGCTTCTGCTTCCCTGCAGGGCTCAGGTGAAAGCCTGCCACATTTCTAGACCTGGATCCTCTATTCTGTATAGAAGGGTTAAGTCACAAGGTGAGTTTGCAAACATGCCTTGGTGGATTCCAAATCCTCATCTGACATAAAGATTTGTTGGGTTGCACATCAGGGTAAATACAGCTTCATGAGGAATATGTTTTCATGATTTCCCTGCCCTTTCTCACACTTCCAAGAGTACACCACCGCTGCTGTTATGGATTGTTCTTCCTGCCAGCCTGGTCCACAGATATGTCAACTCCAAATGAATACTCAGAGACTTATATTAATTATATATCTGTTGGCCGGTGACTAGGGCCTCTTATTGGCTAGCTCTGTCTTGCATATTAACCCATTTCTATTAACCCACGTGTTCTTATCTTATCTTACCAGAGAAGGGGCTGGACCTCTTAGTCCTTTGTGTGCTACATACGACTGCTCTTTGCCTACAATGCCCAGCATTCTCCTTGTCTCCTAGTCCCACCTATCATCTTGCCTGGCCAATCAGTGTTTTTTCATCAACCAATAAGACAAATGTCTAAAAGAAAGACAACTCCCATCACATTGCAATAAAAAAATCCTTTGCTTTAAGTGAGACTAGTCTGTCTGTTGTAAAACCCCATTGACCTTTTAGCCTGTACTTAGGCTGTAAATTGTGTGATAATGGAAGGTCCCTGAGGCAATGATTATGCTGTGCTCTGAAGGCTCCTGGCTTGCTGTCCCCACTCTCTCCACTCTGGTTGTATCCCATAGATTCCTTAGTACTGATTGGTGTCTTGGATCACACTGTGGGCATGGTGGGAACAGACAAACACGCTCTCCTGCTTGCACCCTGTCAGGGTGTGAAGGATGGCGTGGGATGGTATCGATCCCCTTTCTCAGGGGCTGTGTGGGTGTATCAGGATGGGATGGAGCAGGTGGGGAAGCGTCTAGTAAACTTCAAAGGGAGATGGGAGCTAAGGAAAGGACTATGCAGCCTTGGAGGGGACAGCAAGTGGTGGCTGTGCAAGCATTTCTTCAGAAAAAGCAATGACTTTGAGGAAGCTGCCATCAGCTAAAGGTGAAAGTGAGTAGCTGAGGAGAGGTGAGCGTCCTGATGGGTGTTGGGCGGATAGAGTTACTTTACCCTGCAGATCACAGAAAGTCAGAATAGAAACTCAAGGCAGGAAGTGGAAGCAGCAGGAACTGAAGCAGAGGCTTCCTGGCTTGCTCCCCTTGGCTTCCTCAGCCTGCTTTTTCATACAGTAAGGATGGTGCTATCCACAGTGTGCTGGGCCCTCCCACAGCAGTCACTAACCAGGCAAATGCAGCACAGACTAACTACAGGACAACCTGATGGAGGCGGTTTTCTCAGTTGAGGCTCCCTCTTGTTCACCTCAGGTTGTGTCAAGTTGAGAAAAAACCAGCCAGCATACGTTAGAGAAAAGAGAGGCAGCTTTGGAGATGGCCAATATCTAGGATACTGGATTTGACCTAAATGGTCTTGATAAATTGGTGCATTCATTTTGTTGCAGTTGGAAATTGAACCAGGGTTTTAATGGCTTCTTTTAAAAAAAATTATTTATTTATTTATTTTTTATTTATTTATGTATTTAACTATATGGTATTCTTCCTGCATGTATCCCTGCAGGCCAGAAGAGGGCACCAGACTCATTACAGATGGTTGTGAGTCACCATGAGGTTTCTGGGAATTGAACTC